AGCAGGGTGGTCAAACTAGCCAATCATAGCATCAGAACTCTAAGCACCTGAGAGGAAGTGGGCACCTCCCAGAACATTGTATTGTGCCATGCCCAACAGAAATACTCCACGTGGATAACATTTACAATCAGCTCCTCAGTTGCTCATTCCACCACTGAGTTTACAATGACTTACGGGTAGAAAAACCACACCAAGTAATTTACTACACTGCATAAGGTTACTAGTTTACCTTTTGTAACTAGTAAGTATGTAGTGGGGAGATATTCTGAGACTGTAAATATCCTACTGACCTCAGACTTTCACCAACTAGTTTTAGCATCAGTTGATGATTTTTGCCTTAATTACATACTATTATAACCCACTGCCGTCGAGTCAGATCTGACTCATAGCGGCGCCTCCTTGGACTTCTGAGGCAGTATCACTATGGAAGTAGATTGCCCAACCTTCCTCCTGAGGAGTGGCTGGTGGGTTTGAACCACCAGCCTTCTGCTTAGCAGTCAAATGCCTTAGGCACTACGCCACCAGATTTTTCTAATCTCGTTATTCTTTATATGTTTGTTACCTGGCTTTCCCCTTATAAGGAAGAGTTTCCCCTTCTCCTTTATTTATGTCCATGTGCAATCATGAATTCTTGCTTTTTCCAGCGGGTTGTAATCCTTTATTCCCAGTCACCATCACTCAGCTCTGACTCCTGGTATCCCATGTGTGGCACAGTCGAACTGTGCTCCAGAGGGTTTCAGAAGTCGGTCCCCAGGCCTTTCCTCCAAGGTGGCTCTCTGTGAATTCGAACCGCCAGCCTTTCAGTTAGCAGTTGAGTGCATTAACTCTCTGCACCACGCAGGGACTCCGATCCTTTATTAGTAGTACTTATTCTGATGCTCAAATTGTTCCAGATTTGGCCAGTATGATCTCTCCAAGCGGGCCACCATGTCCCTTGGATCAATCAGTGTTACTCTTTACCATGATTACTTTAAACAGCAAGCCCTTTCCTAATGCCTTGGACCTTTTCCTGTATTCTCTTGACTTCCTGATGAATATTCAGCCAGTTTTTCTGCCTCATTAGAAATCTCCTGTCCTTACCTTGTTTCCCCCTGCTCCTCCTATGTCCACCCAGTCCCCTTGTGAAACAGGATTTTCCAGCAGTGAGCCTTCACTATTAACTGACAGGTATTACCTGGTCATCTTCAAACACGGGTCTATTTGACCTTAACACAAACCACCAGGCAGACTCAGTGCCCCACAAAGGACTGGAGCGGAGGCGCCAGCAGTGGTTGAACACAGCCATCCTAATGGTATTTGTTTTTCCCTTGTGTAAACCAGGTGATGGTTGTGAGTGATTTGCCCTTTGCTTCTCTGTTGCTTTTTCAGACTCCAAAGAGAAAGCAAATTTTTATGCTGCTCAGTCATAAAGGACACCCAAAAACTGAGTTCCCACCTGTAAGCTAGCTGTCAAAAGTGGAAAGAGAAAAAAGAAATTAGATGTACTGCCCATTTTAAACAGTCTTACCTCAAGAGAGCTCCTCCCCCTCCCATTTCTGTTTATTGCACAGGATGAAGAGAATTTTCTCTTTGCACCTTAAAATAGAATTCCTTGCTAAACAGCAGGTGGGGGTGTGGGAGCAACGTATGAACAGAGAAATACATTGACTTTGAGATTACACAGCATATGATGATAAAATATCTTGGCCCTGTTGTCCAAGGAAGCCTGGATGGAGATACTAGCCACACAGGGGTGGAGTGTTAATACATTAATGCATTAGTCCCCACCTTTTTCAGCCATGGGTCACACAACCTTGGACATTAGAGCCTGTGTCTTGACAGAAGGAATGTTGCTGGGAAGGAAACACGGCTGAGGTGAGAGGGCATAACCTTGTACCAGGAAGAAGCCCGTTGTCCCTGCGCTTGAGAGAAAGAAGTGCAGCCACATTTCCCTCAGATATGGGGCCAGGTGCTTAGGAAACCTTTGTGGTGTGCCATCACGGGAGGTGATGGGGAGAGAAACTGAACTGGAAATGTGATCCTGAAAGGGGAAAGTTATCAAAACATCCTTTATAATTACAAAGCTTTGAAGAGAAAAATAGAGATCCTGTGATTTTCCTGGGGAAGGAGGGCTCCCTAAAAGCCACAGATGGTATGAATTTAGTGAGAGAAGGAAGTGGTGGTTTTTGAGTTGGGCTGCCTCAACAGTCATTTCATTTCCATGCGTGTTGTTCCTTTGCTGTAGCCAGCCAGGGCTGAGCTTGGTCAGTCTCTGGGAAGCTGGGATCACAGGATCTCAAAGGTGTTACTCAAGATGAGCATCTTCCTCTCTTCCTTTCAGAAAATTGTCCCCACATACAAACGGAACCACTGTCATAAGTGGACCTACCTAGTGTTTTTCATTGATTAATATTTTATTACTGTTTCAATGACATTATTATGACCCACAATCTGCCCTTTCTGCTTCAAAAGCCATTTTTTCTTTTCTTTGACTTTTTTTTGGGGAGGAGCGGGGTGTTGGCCCCTGTTCTCCTGACTGATTTTCTGTTTCATTTTGTTTTGAACCAAGTCTAAGGTATACAAAGGCACTGTGGAAAGTGACAGGATTTTAGATCAGGTTGTGGAGGGACACAGGGTAAGAGAGTGGGAGGAAGGGGACTGGGGAAGGGGAAGGGTGGATGTATTACTTATTTAAATTAGGCTACAGATAGCAGAGACAGGGGACAAAACCCTGAGATTGGGGAATGGGGTAATTTATGTGAGAGTACTTTGAAAAAGTGAATGGTTAAACACACATTTCACTAGGTGGGTCCATAATGATTTCTCTGTCTGTGGAACTTTTATTACACTTGAGGTTTATGCCTTTCATTTGGTGTCACAGTAGATAGAAATATACCATTTGCCTCTTATTCCTGAAACAAGTACTTCCTTGTTAATGACCTTGTTTGTTTGTGTATGTTCTGGTAACTAGATTGCCTCTTTCTTGGGTGCAAGACCTCTGCTTTTTTTTTTTTTAGTGCCATATGGAAGGAGGAAAGGAACCTTGGTGGCACGGTGGTTAAGCATTCTGTTGCTGACCGAAAAGTTGGCAGTTTGAACCCAGCAGCCACTCCACAGGAGAAAGATGTGGCAGTCTGCTTCCGTAAAGATTACATCCTTAGAAACCCTATGAAAATAAAGAAACAACTCAGTGACATCAAGTTGATTCTGACTCATAGTGACCCGCATTGGGTTTCTGAAGCTGTAAATCTTTATGGAAGATCACCCCATCTTCCTTTCCTGGAGCAGCTGGTGGGTTATGAAGCAATTTCTCATTAGCAGCCAAAGGCCTTATCTACAGTGCCACCAGAGTGCCTTAGAAACCCTACAGGGTAGTTCTCCTCTGTCCTGTAGGGTCAATATGGGTCAATTGACTCAACAGCAACAGGTTTGGTGTTCTGGTTTATCCATACTGGGCTGAGTGATACAATTTATTGAGTGTTTACTATGTGCTCGGTGTAAGTCTATGTTTTGGTGTTTTTTGGTTTTTTTTTTTCAATTCACTCCTATAATCCCTAAACAATACTATAAGGTATAGATTTTTTTTTCTATTTTATTTTATTGTGATTTGGGTGAAGATTTACAGAGCAATTTCACTTTCTATACAGCAGTTCACATATACTTTGTCTCATGACATTGACCACAGTTTACCACAATGCAACAGTTCCCCTCCCCCTCCTCCCCACAGTTACCTCTTCCCAGTGTCCATCCCTCCATGGACCCCTGAGCTGCCTCCCTGTGCATAAGCAGCACTTCTTTCTCCCATGATTGTTCTCTCCAAGGAGTGTATCTACTTGAGGTAAATGTTCAACTCATATGCCTGTGTTTTGTTTGGCTAGAAACCACAGGTGTGGGTTCAATTCCAGACCCGAAGGGCAGCTAGAGGCCATAGTCTCAGTGGTTCCACCAGGCTCTATTGGACCAGAAAACCTGGTCCCCCTCTTTTTTTTCCCCTCCAAATGATTTTGAATTTTGTTCCACATTGTTCTCCCTATCAAGGATCTCCTACATAGATCCCCCTCCAAGTGGATGACAGTGATAGCCGGGCACCATCTAGTTCTTCTGGTCTCATAGCCGTATGGGCTGCAGATCAGATGGTGTACAAATCACTAGGACTAATTGTTTCCATGAATTTTGATCTTCATTCTTCTTTGCTCTGGACAAGGAGAGACCCATCATTGCATCTAGATGGCAGCTTGCTAGCTTTTAAGATCCCAGTCACTAAGGTATATATATTATTATTCCCATTTATAGATGAAGTAGCTGAAACCCGTAGTTACAAAGCCAGGAAGAGGTGGAGTCAGGCTCTGAACCAAGGCTTTATGTCCTCAGAGCCTTTATTCTTCACACCCATGTGACACAGTTGCTACAAATGAAAACCAGAGTTCCTGTGTGCACTGTAGAAGACAGTGGATTAGAAAACAACACTGATCCTTTTCCACGCCTCCACCTCTGTCCCAACCCCTCCCCCTCCCCCTACCCCCTAGCACTCTTCCACCCATCTTTTCCTCATTTGTTAAAAAAAACCCCAAACTCACTACCATCAAGTCGATTTGACTCATAAGGACACCTCCTTGTATTTCCCAGGCGGTATCTCTACGGAAATTGATTGCCCCATCTTCCTTCTGAGGAGTGGCTGGTTAGCAGTCAAATGCCTTAGGCAGTACACCACCAGAGCTCCCAATTTGTCAAATGGGGATGAAAATATGTAACTTGTAGAGTTTGGTGAAAGAGGTTGGCACAGGGACAAGTGTCAATAAATGTTAGAGAACTCTGAACAGTAACTTCAGATACATGAAGGTGTTCCTGGTAACAGATGCCCCTTCACCTCTGTCCACATGGTGCCCTTTTGCCAAAAATTGTGACTTTACTAATTTTGAGTGTTTAAGAAAGAAAAAATAATCATTCCTATTAACATGTCACTCACTGTGCCCTCTCATTGTTATGCTTTCTTTTCCAGATGGTAATGAAAAGTAATCCAGATGGGGTGCAGGTGCTGTAAAATGATACACAGGTAAAGTTGAAAAATACTTCCTCTGAACACAACACTTAGTGGGGTCACTTTTTAAGGCTGTGTTTGGATTCTGTGCATTTCTCTACCTTGGAACATGAATGTAATGGACAATAAATTAAGTATTTGGAACTGCTCTGATGTCATTTAAGAACCATGTGGCCTAGATTTCAAAACTCTTTTTGGCCTCTCTTCAGAGCCTGTTGATAATGGCATGGTTCTCTGACTGAATTTGGTTTGGGTTGGGTCTGCATTTCTCCAGGGAACTTCAGCACAAAGAAAAGCCTAGGTTTCAGAGGCTGATGAAATTGCGTCACTGACAATAAATCACCCCAACTACACATATGCTTTTAACTTTGTCCGTATTTTATTTTATGAAAATGTTGGTAATGTAGATAGAAATCTACATAAAATAAAGGGACAGAATTAACTGACAATCTTGCCCCCTTCCAAATAAAAGTGTCTTTATTATTCTAGTTTTATTCCAGATATATACTTATGTAAGTTTTACATATATTGTTGTTATGTGCCATTGAAAACAACCAACTCACTGCCATCGAGTCAATTCTGACTCATAGTGACCCCCATTGGGTTTCCAAGGCAGTAAATCTTTACAGAAGTAGATTTTCCCATCTTCCTTCTGCGGAGTGGCTGGTGGGTTTGAACCACCAACCTTCTGATTAGCAGTCAAATGCCTTAGGGACCATGCTACCAGAGCTCCTTAGATAGATATAGAAATTAAATAATATGATATGAGGTATTATTCAAAATGTATTATAAATATCTTTCAAGCTCCTACATGCTTCATAGCTATCATTTTAATAACTGCATAATGTTCCACTGAGAGGATGCACCATCGATACTTAACCATTTATTTCCCTGCCTTATTTTTTATTTTTAAATTCCACAAACCACTTTGTGCTTTGTCTTCTTTTCTCCCTCTTTCAGATCTCTTTTTAAGATCTGTTTACAGTGGTAGAATGTTTTTATACAAACTACATCTATCTGACATCCCAAAACTCCAAACTCACTGCCATTGAGTCAATCTCAACCCATAGCAACCCCTCTTTGGGTTTCCAAGGAGGTATCTCTATGGAAGTAGATTGCCCAATTTTCTTTCCAAGGAGTGTCTGGTGGATTTGAACCGCCAGCCTTCTGGTTAGCAGTCAAATCTTAGATACACTTATATAGGTTTAAAAGAGCTCTAGAGGTGTAGTGGTTAAGCCATTTGCCTGCTAACCAAAAAGTCGATGGTTCCAAAGCACAAGCCACTCTGAGGAAGGAAGATAAGGCAGTCTGCTTCTGGAAAGACTTACAGCCTCGGAACCCCATAGGGGTCACTGTGAGTCAGAATTTACTCAATGGTAGTAAGTTTGCTTTATGGAGGTTTAAAGGAGCTCTGGTGATGCAGTGGTTAAAGTATTCAACTACTAACCAAAAGGTCGGCAATTCAAGCCCATCAGCCATTCCACAAGAGAAAGATTGAGGCAGTCTGCTTCTGTAAAGATTTACAGCCTTGGAAACACCACAGGGCAGTTCTACTCTGTCTTCTAGGATCACAATGAGTCAGAATCAACTTGATGCCAGTGGGTTTGGGTTTTGGGTTATACCGGTTTAAAAGAATAATTAATCATAAAAAGTAAATTAGCAGCAATATTGGAAAGAAGCAGAGTCTGTGGTCGAAAGTACTAGTCCTCATGCAAACCTGACTGATTTTCAACATTCTCACCCCCAGCTATCTTTTCGATCCAGTGCAAGTGCCCTCCCCTGGCTATGTCAATGAAGTGAGCAGTTGCAAGGTAGATGAAGAAGACACTGTTAAATTCAAAGATAAACAGAGCAGCAAAGTTCTGGTGCATAAAAATGATCTTCAAAATGAGGGCCTGAAGAGAACTGAGAGCCTAAACAGAACGGCTAATTCCCAGGAGCCCTGCTGGCCTCCCCAAGGACCTCTCCCTCAGGGAGACCCAGGAGGGAACCACTGTGTGGAGAAGACTGATGGTGCCGTCAATGGTGTTGGGCCCACTGCTGCTCTGCAGCCTACAGGGAATCCCAGGCCCCAGGACAATGACAGGGACTCCATGGCCAGTACTGCAAATGACGTCCACCCAACTCTTCCCTTCCTTGAAGGAGGGGATGCCAGGAAACAGGATTGTGTGCTGCCAGTTTCAGAAGAGACCCAAGTCATCCAAAATGGAGACTCCAGAGCTCCTTCCAAGACAGAAAGTCATACCTTGGACATACAAGACCATATCTTACAGATACCAGCTCCAGATTACCCTCAATTTTGGGGCTCAGCAGTAGGCAACGTTGATCATGAAGGAAAGGATTATCTTTTCCAGAACCATACTGACAATGAGTGCCTGGAAAAAATGTTCTTTCCTGGCATGCCTATGCCCTCTACGAAGAGAAGTTGGGATTCAGTAAATGAGGGTGTGGCAACAGAAGTTTTAAATGGCTGCTTTAAAGAGGAGGATCCTGCTCATGCCATGCCTGCAGTCAATGTAAGAACTGGGCAGGAGGGTGTTCATGGCTGCAGTGGAGGCAGGGATGGAGAGATGGTGGATGAGGACGCAGCAGTGGCAGAAGCCCTTGCGGCTTTGGAAGCTGCTACTGCGGGAGAAGATATGGATGAGGTGTATTAGGGAGGAGATTGTGCAGGCACGTGAGCTGCTGTCTGGACATAGCTGAGCATGGGGGGGGTCGTGTGTCAGATACAGAGCTGACAGTCCGCCAGCGGGTACAGTGCAGCCATGCTGGTTGTTTACACCCAGCCTCTGTTCGGATCATCATGTCTGTGCCATACTGCTTGTTACATAGCTGGAGCTTCGCTGTTTAGGTGGGCTGTTCACTAGGACATGGCACTAGAATAAAAATCAGAGTGGGCTATCATGCCCATGTCCACAGCACATGCAGGAGTTGGGCAGCCTGTTTGCCATCCCTCAAAGCTCTTCAGAGTATCTGGTTCAGATGTTCGCAGGAATGCTCTCAAGTCCCAACTCTTAATGCCAAAGGCTGAGAATCACAGCATTCTGTTTGACTGTAAATTCCTTATCTTGCTTTTGAAAGCCAAATGTTGGGCCAAACCTGGACAAGGTGATGACCTTCTGAAAGTGCCTACTGTATAACCAGAGCATGGCTTGCCTTCAGGGACAGTCACCCAGGGAACTGATGGCTAACCATCTGTTTTAATAGGAGTTAAACTCAGCAGCAGCCTTCGTAGAGCAGAAGTCACCAGTAAACAAATGGTTAGTCATTAGCTGTGGTCTTAAGACACCTTATCCTTAACTTTTTCACATTATTATTTTTCATCTCCTTTGGGATTGGAGAGGCTGGCCAAAACAATTCTCAAAGCTGCTTGTGTCATATTTGGGTCTTAAGTTCTTGAGGTTTGGGACAGCCAAGGGATATATGGATTCTTATATGCCATTAAATGTCTGATTCTGATTAAAATATAATATGTGTTTGTCTTAACTCAAAGGTACTCCTAATTTTCTCAGACTGAGTACAGGGATTTTTGATGCTCCTTTTCATTTAGAATTAGAATTATAAATTACAGTCAAGGAAGAAACCAAGGCAGTGAACTGAACAAGTCCTTGGCTTTCTGTTCCTCAGGTCCAACCTCTGATGCCATGATGACTACCTTACCTTAAGGATGACCAAGCTCTATGGATTTCAACCTTCTAATTTATAAAAACAAAGTTAGCCATTATGACATACCTCATTGGAGAATTTGTAGTAGTTAAGGATGATTGAAATGCTCTATAAATATACAAAAGAATAAACATGGAGGACAATTTACTGTGGTGTGTCAAAACACAGGCTCAGAAATCTAATTGACTCTGGGTTGATTTCCCTGTATGGCTTTTAGCAAGTACCTTCTCCCTTCTATTTGTTCATCTGTTAAGTGACAATAATAGTACATGCTTGTGAAGATCAAATGAGATGATACAGTGTTTTACACAGTGCCTGGCACACAGTAGGACTCAGTCAATCTTATGAGTTAAAAACAAATCGTTTTAAAATTTTTCACAACTGAAAACTAATATTATGAAGGATTTATAATGTCATTGCTGCATTTCAATGATTACTCATCATACAACATGATTTCTGAGCCTTCCAACATCTCTCAGGTTAAAATAAAAAAAAAAAAAAAAAAACTCATTGCCATTGAATCGATTCTGACTCAGAGCAGTAAAATTGCTCCATAGGGTTTCCAAGAGTTTCCAAAAGTAGGTTGCCTTATCTTTCGTCTATAGAGTGGCTAATGGGTTTGAACCCCCATCCTTTTGGTTAGTAGCCAAATGCTTTAATCTTTGTGCCAGTGGAGCTCCTTTCTTTAAGGTTCTCATTCTCACTCACTCACTGCCATCGAGTTGGATCCAACTCGTAGTGACCCCTCCTTAGGTTTCCGAGGTGGTATCTCTACAGAAGCAGATTGCCTACTTAAAAATGCTTGATGGGTATATGTTGTGCTGGGTTTGTTGATACTGTGATGACAAGGCATCTCTACATATAAGGTCACTTAGCCCTTAAAAGATAAATTGTTGGCATTGTGAATTCCATTGTAGGTATGTTTGCTATTGCATTTAGTACACCAAATGCATAACGCACATTCCTTCAACAATTTTCAAGTGTATTTGCTGTGATTAGCTTCAGCCACATGTGGTAAATGGCTTAAACAAATTGTGGTTCATTTCTCTCTTATGTAAAAGAAGGGAGCTCTAGTGGCATAGTGCCTAAGACATTTCACTGCTAATCAGAAGGCTGGAGGTTCAAGCCACCAGCCATTCCTCTGAAGGACGATTGGGCGATCTACTTCCATAGAGATAGCACCTCAGAAACCCAAGGAGGAGTCGCCATGAGTTGAATCGACTTGATGGCAGTGAGGTTTTTTTTTTTTGCTTTTTTTTTTTTAAGGTCACCTCATGCTCCAAAATGGCTGTGGGAGCACTAGTCATTACATTTGATTTCCATGCAAGAAAAAGAATAGTCAAGAGATGCTACTCTCTCTTTTTAAAGGACCTCGTGGAAATGTAATTCAACCCTTCCACTTTTATGTCCATGATCAGCAGCTGGCCAGTAGGCCACATCTAGCTGCAAGAGAGTCTGGGAAAAGCAGTCTTTCTAGCTATATGCATGGCCTCTGCAAATACATTCATGATTCTGAAACTGAGAAGTGGGAGAATGGCCACTGAGTTTTGAGGTAGGCAGATTACACTCTCTGCCACACCAGGTCCTCAAAACACAAAAGCCTGGAATAATGCCAGTTTGAAAGAGGTTGAAGGATTTCATTTACATTTAGTATGGCAGAAGGTACTTAAGCCATTAGTTCAGGGGAAGGTATACTAGACACATACCACCATCTCACCTTACTGACAGTATCCCCAAACAGAAAGATAAAAGGAATTCAGACAGGGAAAGAGTAGGGTCATGTGTTAGTGCAGACAGGTCTCTTTCCCTTGTGTGGAAATATACTTCTGCATACATAAGTATATATAATGTTACATTTTAGGACTGCTACAGACATTCACCATAATTGACAACTCTCTTAGATATTAAAGATTATTTTTGTGTGAATAAATGCTTCAAAAGGGTCAGAGATGACCAAGAAGTCTGGGCATTTTTTAAAAAAAGCAATTCTAACTCCATCAATGCATGTCAGAGGAAAGTCAGAATGTTTCTATTGAAAAGGAATTCCAGATTTTAGCCTTATCTGCCAGGTTGTCTAGCAACTATCTAAGCACCCAGCTGTGCTGTGATGTTTTCCTTCTATAGTTTGGTGCAACCTTTCTCAGAAAAGTGATGATGAAAATAGAGAACCTTTGCAAATATTTTGGGCGATTTGAATGTACAGATTCACTCTGAACATACAATTCTGTGATCAGGAGTGGATGTCCCACTTCATTGAGTTCCTTAGCAAATTGCATAATGTGGATATTGACCATGTTGCATCTTGATTTTGATTTAAGTTTATTTGTATATTACATATAGGTTTCTTGAGCTAGGAAATTACATTTCACATTTTATGAGAAAATTAAGCTATCATGTTGTTGTTGTTGTTGTTGTTGTTAAGTGCCATCGAGTCGTTTCCGACTCATAGCAACCCCATGCACAGCAGAACGAAACACTGCCTGATCCTG